TGGTAGTCTTCTACATGTTTTGTACTTAATTAAACAACAATTTTATGACCATATAATAAGTTTGTTTGCTAACAGCATTAAACGTCTAAAGAATGGAGCAAAGTCACCAATGTTAATGAAGGTAAGTTTGTTTTTAGTATTGCCATATTGTTTGCTTTATAATTGCTTTAAAAATAGGTACACACTGCGTACATGTGGCTAGCCTATTCACTATTCAGCCTGTCAAATACAGCTGGAGTTCACATTGTCATGAACATTCATCACAAACATTCATTGTGATACAAAATTAATAATTACAATAGAAGAATGTTCAAAATAAAACAGAAGAGTATCTTTCTTACAATGCCAAGAAATGGCTACAATCACTCGATTTAAAAGCAATGGTTGGTACTTGCTAGCAATGGTCCAGCCAACAATATTATTGAGTCACAATTTAATTAATAAATGTTTTGCTTTAATAATAAACATATATGCAGCAACTAATGATGTCACTTTTATTGTTTTTCAAAATTTCACTAATATGTAATTCACTAATTTCACTAATATGTAATTCACTAAGATTTCATTACATGGGTTTCCTTGTTACAAATATATTCTTGTGTCTGGTTTACAAGTTATTAGCTTTTCTTGAAACCTTTCATAAAACCTTTAACCCATTAAGCTGCAGAGCTTCCCCACTAACAAGTAAAATCGTCTGGCATTAGACAAGTAAAAAAAAAGTAGGGTGCAATGGGGCGCATTGTGGCTCAATGGGTTAAATGCAAAGTTCTTCATTAATATATAATATTTAATGCTAGATTTCTAAACAGTTTTTATTTATTGTAATGGACAACTTGCATGTTAGACTAAATTTTAATCTAAGCAGAGAAAAGGGAATCAAACATCACAGCTAAAAAGAACACACTGAAATTAGTAAAATTGCAAAATTTTGTTGCGAAATGTTGTAAAGCTTAGAAAATATAGCCTTGCAAAGTTAGCATATTTTCAGTATATTTATATTACGAGCGGAAATTGTTACCATTTTCGGCTCAAAAATGGTAACAATTTCCGCACGTAATACAAATATACTGAAAATAGGCAAACTTTCCAAAGCTATATTTTCTAAGCTTTACAACATTTCGCAACCAAATTTTGCAAGTTTACTAATTTTAATAAGTTCTTAACGGTAATTTACTTTTTTTCCGCCTAGATCGGCTGGATCAAAAATTTGTCTAACATGCAAGTTGTCTATTTATAAGATCTAAAAGCATCGGAATTTATAATGAACTCATCCAATCAATAATTTATGTCACCACCACTAAAACTATTGCCCTCATGATGATACTTGCATATCATGATCTTCCTATATTATCAAATTTTATCACCAGTCACCATATTATCAGCAAATTGTCCAGAATATGTGTTCACTTAGTTGTTTGAAGTACTGTAGATGTCATGCATCACTGTGATTTTGAATTGGGTTTTTATCTGTAAATTGTTTAAAATTAAGAACCAAATACAGTGTATTTACTGGCAGATCACAAAAATGAAATATTGTAAATGATGCAGGTATAAATTTAAACAACATTTAACTCTAGCTATAAAAGTATGAACATGCTACTCATGCTGAAAAGAAAGGTTGAAACTTGTCGATATGACCTCAGCACATTATGACTGTGGGTTTGCTTTTTCATATACCCTCTCAACTGCTAGGGTCAGTGTTGAATAGTGATTGCACTGATCTTCATGAACGTAGCAAAGCATCTGTCATTGGGGGAGGGGTGGGGGGTGCCTGAGAATTTTACCTGAAATCTGAACTTCAATGTTAAAAATCTACCTAAGTGTAATAATTCCACTGTCATACTAAGTTCGCTAAGAAATGGGGGTGTGGGGGTCCTCCCCCAGAAAATGTTTACATTTTTGAAGCTCCAGAACTGCATTTCTGGTGTTTTCTAAAGCACATTTACAAACAAATTGGATCTAAATTGACTGTATCAAAAAGGGTTATCATTTCACAAAAATACCAACTTTATTATCCAAATTTTACCTGAAAATGTCAAGATTTATACTTGATTTTGTGGGGTTTACACACCCACAATCCCTGTTGCTATGTCCCTGCTGATCTTTATAGATCAGATATTATTTACATCTGGACCAGATATCCAAAAATAAACTGCATGTAACAGTTGCATTTTTCGCAGCTGTTCCTGGTTAGGTCTTATAATGAATGTAAATACATTTTCACTCAATTATTTCCATCTAGAAGATTAATATTGAACTGTACGTAAACAGACTGAGCTTCCATTGCACTGTGTGTGAAATTGTGGTGGGAAATCCTTATAGCTAGTAATATAAAATATACCTGCAGCAAGTGGATAGGGCACTTGTAGTATAATATAACAGCAATGGTCTTGCTTCTTAAATTACCCACATAATGATATATTAAAATTCAAGATCTGTGCAAGCACATTTGATTATGAACAGTATTATAAACTCACTATAAAGCTTTATATGAAGCATGATCAAAATATCTTTGACTAAAAGCAGAGTCCAGACTATAGCAGACATGAATAGCAATGACATGACAGATTTACAAATTATAAACATAAATATCGATTGAAATAACAAAAATTAACTTACCGTTTGCTGTGAAAAATTCCTTCGAGTATTTCCACCAGCATTACCAACTGTAATTTTGCTAATTTTGCTTCAGTTCTTCCAGTATTAAAGTTGTTAAATACCTTTTCTGATGCCATGAACATTGAACGACAGTTTCCGAAGTAAAGTCGACAATCTCTGTCACAACTCCACATAGTCTTACAATTTTAGCATTACATTGTGGCTAGCCTGCAAACGGGCTAGCCACAAAAACCGATACAATCCATGGCGTTTTGTAAAGTGAAAACAATTTTGGTGTATTTTTATTAATATTACCCGTTTTTGTATATTTAAATATTTAAATAAAGAGGAAAGCAAACTTATTTTCATGCAAGAATTTGAAATCAGTTTATTTCAATTTTCAAACTCAATGTTTACCAATAAAAGGCAGTTCAGTTTTAAGAACATTTTAAAACGTTTTGCAAAGCATTAAATTTTACATTCAAGTGAAGCTTATATTACGTATAAAAACATACCTAGCATATATATGTTTGGGAAGTTGATAATTTTGTAATTAAAAGTGATATTTTTGGGGGATGTTTTGTTTGGAAACGTAATGGTTTTGTCAAGGCAAGGGTTTCTGCATGCATATATTTCTAGTATTATTTATACAAAGAGCAAGACGTGTTTTTCCTTTACATTTCTTAGCTGATTGCCTGTCTATATATAGATAAGTATGGAATGTGCCTGGAGCCAAAAATGAAGTATCCAATTCAGGAGGACATTGACAAGCATTTCATTAGCAGAATTAGTCAAGTCTAGACAATTCCTTTCGTTATGTTCTGGACAATATCAATTGGGAAGAGAAAGTGCATGATATGAGGCAGGATGTGCAAAACTGAAGTGTTATGCAGTGGCAAACAAGTATAGTGTTCAACCGGGGGTTCCTGATAAAGGATTGCCCAATTCTGGTCCCCAGCAATCTCTGAAAGATTGCAATGTCCATCAGCTGGTGGACATCAATCGACTGGAATCTGATGCAATTCGGAACTGGTATAGAATAATTGTTGCCAACATTCTCTGTTTGATCAATTCCCTGCTTTTGCAATGTTCAGAAACTCTATACCTGTGAGCACCAGCTGTGAGTATCCAAACGAGATGGCACGTTGTAAGTATTGACAATGCCTGTGGAAATGAAAGATAAGAATTCAATTTTCCCAGTATTCAACTGGGAAAGTGGACACTGGAGCTTTATGCAGCAGCCGGACTATGTTCCCCAGAATCTGAACTGTCAGAGGATACAACCAGGCTTTTAGCCAGAAGGGCGTCTGCAACGAAAAAGTGCACGGCTTTGCACGCCCAAAATTCAGGAGGAAATGGTAGTTATTTGTCTAAATATATAATTGTAATTGAAAACTATTTACCTTTAATTTTCAATATTATCACACGTTTGATATTTTGGTCAATTTGATGGTGTATTACGGTTGAATGAAAATGTCGTAATTAAACAAAAATGCAAGAATGTTTGTAAAATCTCGCATGATCTCTTAGCAGGTTGCACATATGTTTACATGAAGTAGACCTGTAAATTTTGATACTGCCAACGTTTTTCGGACAATTTGAATTAATAAATTAACTCAACAAGTCAACAACGCAAGGTAATTATCATAATCCTTAGGCCTTAGCAATTTGATATGTAAATATTAACGTTTAGAATGTTCATTAGCATTAGCCTCTTTTAGCGGTAGATTTATCCCTTGGATTTATACTTAAATGCCTGTTTAAACTTGACACCAAAAAATCCGTAACTGCAAATAAAAGAGTTTGATTGAGCCTTTCCAAAATTGTGGTTAAAACGCTATAAATGGTTACAGTATGATAAAGTAAAGGGTGTTATGACTTGTAAACTATGCCAGAAACACGGAAAATCAAGCTGGTACAAGCAATTTCTGGTACAGCACCGTCTAGAGGTCAGCCAGAACAATGACAAGTCTTTGCAGAAATTAAAGGAGAGTTATTAAACAATCTTGTTGCAAACATTGAAGCCCGGTTTCCACAGGTTGATCTTATTATTGTCATGCAGATTTTTGAACCTGCATCTTATCCCGCGGCAGAGGAAAACAACCTTCTATCTTGGGGAAATCAATACTTGGAAACACTATTGAATTTCTATGGTAAAGGAAAACAAACCAAGAAGGGCGATGTTTTCCATCAATGGTAGATAGTGCTGAATGCCATGCTGAATTTTTGCCATTCAAATGACTAGTAATGAGAAACAAAGGTGAGCAACGACTGGGCGATGATGGTAGCGAAAATTTTCACTACTACAAACCACCCAAATTAATGTGGAAATTATTTGGCAATGCAGGGCGACAGAATCAAGAAATCTACCCAGTGATTTTGCTGATGCATTCTAGTTGGAAATGCTGAAGCTGAAAGAGTTTAACTGCGAGAATAGGATTAAAACCAAAGCAAGAACACTGCTTGGCATTGATCAGCTTGATAAACTCATAAGGATCAGTTACGCAAAAATTCCAATTGAACAGTTCGATTTTGCCGCTGCGGCGAAACTATTTTTAGAAGGAAAGAGTAAAAGAATATAAAATTGAAACAATAACGATTATAACGTTATCAAAACTTACCTTGTGTCAGTACTAATGTAGTACAACTGTGCAAGATTGTTTTCTTGCCAGTTTAATAAATGTTTTTTTTTATTGGCCAATATATGTGGCATAACAAAATAATAAACGTTATTAGCAACTGAAAGCGTTCGTTAAATGTTGAGAAAAGAGAATATAACTATATAAGACTATTAAAACATTAAGAAATAAGACTCTTATTAATTTTTTAATTCTTTTAAATCAATTACTGTAATGTATAAAGTTGCAATATGATTCTTCTACAGTCTTAATGATTTATTTTACATAATACACTTTTTAAAATTATGATTTAAAACCTCTAAATTCTGCTCAACGTGTTCTCGAGATGTCTGAGTACCTATAAAGACTATAATTAGATCCCCCAGACAAGGTACGGTATGTGTCGTCACTATTCCTTCAAAAATTGAATGCCAGAATCCTGGCTAAAAGCCTGGATACAACTCCCACAGTTGGAACCACATCCAGGCCTAAGCAACCTGTTTCCAATGTCCCACCTGTTACATCTGACAGTGATCCACTGCATGGTGTGAAAATCCCATGCTTTGTGATCAAATCACCTGAGTTGCAAGAGACCTACCTAAGAGCTGCGTGCCATTCAGCACAGCAGAGATTGGATCACTTATATCCTTTCTGTATTATTGACTGGCATACAAAGAGAAGTTTTTTGAAGGTACAGTATGCTAACCAGTTTCAATGAGGGGGACAATGGAGAGTGGGTGTTTCTATTTTATAACAACAGTAGTCCAGTAGGTACTGTAGATTCACTGATGTGATTGTTGTGGCTATTGTTCATAGCCAAATGTTACTCCAAAAAAGGTTAGAGGTTATACAAATGTGCCTAAAAAGTAAATTAAATCTTTGTGATTAAATTGGAATTTTTATTTACATCCTAGACACACATGTTACAATCTCTAGCCTTTATTATATCCATCTGTAGCCAACCTTGATAACACAGTTTTGTGTTACTCCAATAAAATAAGGTTTATCCCCATAAAATGTACAATAAGGTTATCTATTTGTTTAGACAATTTTCAAAAAACTGTACAAGAATTCTGGAAGAGAAAAGGGGACACTTCGCTTCTTCAGAGAGAAGTTAAATCGCAGAAATGGGACTGTTGACGACAAACACTTTGAGGACTGTGAGAAGCTGTTCATCAGTGTTGGTAAGTGCTTTGTTATTAAAGCCCTATTGGAATTTTTCCAAATGGATGATCCAAGGTGCAAATCAACAGCGAACGGAACTCATAGTGTTAACGTCTTCAACAAAGCCTACAGGAAGACCTACATCAAGGATATTCTGGACCAGTTCCTTGATGACTTTATTTTTCATGATGAAAATAAGAAGGTGGCAGATGGTGTTTGGTGCTATGGTGTCAACACCACTAAGTCTTTCATGGTGCTTGCAGATTTTAAGAATGCTGTTTCCCCTGGCAATGGTGAATACATTTCGATCCTAAGGAAGCAGCTGTTGACCCATTTCTTTGCAATGCCTGTATTTAACAAATTTGCAATTCAAATCATAGACAGATTTTGTAGGGGGGTCCAGGGGGTGCTACCCCCAATATTAGCTATAATCGCCCCAAACAAAATGTCCACCCCTCCAAAAACCCCCCCCCCCCAATATTTGGCGTAATAAAAAATAATCAAATAGTCCACTCCAATGTGCAGAGTGTTGATGATACAAAATAAACGTAGGGGTACACTCAAATAGAAAAAGACAGTGCAATACTCTGAAACTAATCGCTCCTCGCTTGCATTCACTTATTTATTGGAGCAATTGTAAAGTTTTGAAACTCTATTATCTCCCCTGAATAGAGTTTTCAGTGCCTTGTCATGCAATATAGCTTTTAATTCTTTAGTTTTTAATTCTTTTAGGAAATAGACTTGCCTAGATTTAATCTTTAGCCCCCAAATATTATTTACATTGGAGTTGCATCATAAATTGTACTCGGATTCAAACGATACAATGTCAATTACTTTATAAAAGTAAAAGCATATTGTGTATTGGCCTATTGGGTTTACACTTTTACAGGTTCATTTAACTTCAACTCCCTCAAGTCTCAACAGACAATCGGACATGCCAAATCCATTGATATGACAACTTCAAAAAACTTTTTTTCGAAGCTAGAAATCATGATTTTTCTCAACTTTTTCCAGGGATAATTTGTTTTCTGCTCTCTAGACTCCCCTTCGCTGCTCTAGTGCTCCACCCCTAGAATATAGACCTTACTGGGGTTTGGTGACACTTTGTGTTGCTTCAGTCACCTGCTCACAGCTCACCCCCCTAAAATTTCTGGCACCACCCCAGTAAAAAATATGAAAATCTGTCTATGATTCAAATGCTGATCAACATCCTCCAGTGTGAGGTGTTATTGTCGGAAGCAGAGGCTCATCACTGGAAGTGGGCTACCACAGTTTGACAGTTAACTGGAACGGTGGTGTTGGTTGCAACATTGAGATAGACCTCTTTCAGCAAAACAGAAACTGCGAGATGAAGAAGTTGATCAGGTCGATGGGTGCCTACAAGACAGAGAAAGCGATTGAGAGAGCAAGCAAAGCATCTGGAGATGTCTCAAAGTTTGTGTAAGAGTTTGAGGAGCAGGTGAATATTTGTATAACCACAATCTGCTCATGATGAGAAAGTTATTAGTGGGGACTTAAGAAGTTTAAGGCCTTTTAAGGAAGGAGAAGGTTGATCGTTTGAGACCTTTTTTGGCATCTCACATGATCCAACCCATTCATTGGACAAGGTTAAATTTGAAGAATGGATTGATCGCCACAAGACAAATATTGTGCTGCATTATCCAACTACACAGGAAGCTCAATCCAGTGAGGACAGTGAGTGAACAACCTAAAACAGAATTGTTTTAAAGTGACTTAAATCTACATGTATTGTATGTACACACAATTTGATCAACCCATTGACTGGTGAAATGCCCTAATGTGACCCTTTATTAATTTACTCTATATGACAATAGAGTTTTGCAAGTTATTGGGAGAGTTATGTGTCTCTGTTCATTGTTAGTGTTTTACTGGCTTGTCTTTGCATGAGAAATAGTTGTTTAGAACTAAAACAGTAAGTCTGCATCAAACAAGGATGAGATTTGGTAGTGTCACCCATATTTGATCATATTTTGTTAAACATGTTTAAATGTTTAAGCTTTTATGTCATCAACTCTTGTCAACTCTCATCCTCATTTGAGTAATATTTCAAATCCGAGTTAGTGTTTTAGACGTGGTTTCTAAATACAAGTGCCATGAACAATGGCGAGGCGCAGCCGAGCCATTGTTCATGGCACTGGGGATTTGGAAGCCAAGTTTAAAACACTAACGAGGATTTGAAATTGCTTCTCACACATCATTAGATATTCATAGCAATGAGGCATGAAATTATTAGATATTCAAAAAAGTGAGCGTGGGCATTAACAATTACATTCGCTTGAAAGTTTGCATGAAGTGCAACGAAGCATTCAGTTCGCTTTCGTCGTGAATAGATGAATTTTGTTGGCAAAAGGGCATGGTATCTTCTTATAATATAAGAAAAAGCAATTTCGAGAACCAGAAAGTGTTGAGCACAGCATTGTGCACAGTATTGTCGCTCGGCTGACAAGGTTGGGGATCCGAAAAACGATATATCAGTTGTGTGTGCGATAAGGCGCTATCTGGTGGAAAATGAAAGAGCCGAAGTGAATATATATTTTATAGACGGTAAACATTACTGGTAAGTTGCTGTATTATAGTGTTTAAAGCGCTGTTTATTATGATAGTTGGTAAAAAAGTTGGTTTTCCTATATTTATGTAGTTTTCAAACGTTCAGGAAAAGTGTTAGCTATAAAGTGTAGTTAGAATAAATTTCTAAATACAACTTACTGTATTTAGAAATAATTCTAAACATAGCAATTAAATATATTTGCATAATCTTTTGTTTACGCCTCAATTTCCCTATTGTTCAAAGCCCTTCCCACTTGAAGTAATTAAAGTCCTGGTCTAGACGGGGTATCCAGATAGATACACGTGATGTAAATTAAACCATGTCATTGGCCGAAATGCTATGAATATCTAATGATGTATGAGAATGTTATATCACAACTTTTAGCAGAGAACCAAAATATTGATGACTAACATAAAGTATTAATAATTTATTTGCAATTCTATTTCAGAACCATCCTCAGAGTTATGAAAAACTAATTTCATATTAAACTAACACTGCTATTGGACAACGAAAAATTAATTGCATAGAAACTTAGTCTAGAAAGAGGCAGCAAATTTTTCGTTGTCTCATAGCAGTGTCAGTTTAATAAGAAATAGACTTGTGAGGTAAGTCTAGAGTTATTGTGTTCTGCACCCAATAAAAATAAGATTATATATTATAATGACTAAAGTCAACAAAAGACCAATTATTCTCTTTTACCCAATGGCCTTGTTTTCATGTCAAATACTTACTCATGTTTTGTGCTTAGTAGGGTTGAAAATTACTTTGTTAT